GCGCATTCGAATTGACTCGTTGGAAATTGGAAACAGCCCAAAGGACACACGTTATATGGCCTTCCTCCAACAAACCTCTTCAGTATTCCATAGTATGCCAGTCGTTTATTTCAAAATTTTTTCCGGCCAATTGGCTTTATAATTAAAAATTAAAACTTTGAAATTCCCTCTTAATCATTTTTTATGTTTAACACTATAAGGATAATAACGATCAGTTGATCTTGTCAAGAGATATATATCATCTTAATGCCAAAAGAAATATATCAAAGGTTTAACACCTACGCTTTATAAATAGTTATTAAGATTTGACTGTTTATATAATACATTCTTTTTTTTAATTTTCTGTTCGGGGATATTTCAAGGTATTTATTTTTCAGAAAGATAAGCATGTCACAGCAGCACTGGCTACTTGCCCATTAACGGGTCGTATTTTCACAGGTGATAGTTTGGGTGCCATACGTTCGTATAATTTATCAGACCCAAACGAATGTTTTTATCTTTCTGGATCACTTCGACGAACCACAGAAGCCGTTTCTTCATCATTATCCGAGCATTTCGCTTCCATCCGTTACAGCAAATCCATAATCGATACAGTAGAAGTTTTGAGTGAAACGGTTACCGGTAGGACTGCCGAACCACTTTATGCTGTGAATCCACTTGAAGTGCAGGCATGATTTTTGTCTAAAATTTGTGACAATAAGTAAACTTGCATCTCGTTTTTTTTTCTCGCTCCCAAGTGATTTTACTTTCACTTTGTTCAAAACATTGCATCAAAACTTATTTCTATTTCGGAAATTCTCCCACTAATAACCTGTTTAATCAGTCAGCTATTATTTATTTGTATCGATGTGTTTTCTATTTTTCCAGTTGACAGTATGCCACAAAAGTCCGATTACCGATCTTCTGTGCTGTGGAGAATATTTGATTTCATCAAGTCGAGATGGCGTCATCAAAGTGTGGAAGTAGAGAGCGGCCAAACATTTCTAGTATTAGATAGCTAGTAGTTTTCATTTCAACAGATAGCCGATTCAATTAAGGTTGATGATTTGAATAGCTCATTCTTTCTTATTATGGATGCAGATTAAGACGTATTTTTTCAAAGGGTGTATTATCCTTTTCACCATGTTTTTTTGAATTTTCGCAAGTAGAAAAAAAAAAGGAGAAAATGACTGGTATGATGATTGCCGCGACACTCATTATAGTTCAATAAAGAACGGTGTAGTTGGCAGTACTGAAATCTGAAATATTCTTCTTTATTCTGCATTATAATATTTTTAAAACGTTGGCAATTTTTTCTATTCTTAGGTAATCGTTATAACATTAAACATTTCATCTAAAAGTTAAATTCATACATGCTGAAGAAATTAAGGCATTAGTTTATGTTATCATTACTTTTTTTTAGATAATTCGTTTTTGATAGGCTTTTCATTTTTTTTTCTTTTTCATTATTTTTCTAATCATTTCAGTGATGAGATACAAAAATTGGATAAATTAATGTTATATTAGTGTAGTTTTTATGATTGTTTCATGATTTTGTCATTTTTCAGAAAATTGGCATAATGAAAGAATCAGTGCTTAATACGTTCTTTTTTTAATTCGTAATTATTAAATTTGTTACATATCACTAATAAGTTAGCGGTAGGATATCTTAAATGGAATGCTTTAACAGCATCGCATTTTTTTTTTTCCTTTTTCTGGTAAATGAGCATATATATGGTATATTCGCTTTATGTTCTTATTCATCAGTTCAGTTCTTTCATGTCTTGATTACAGAGCGTATTTTGCCATTTTACATAGGTTTCCAGGATATCGAATTTGTAAATAAGAGAAGTGTTCGTTTTTATCTGTTCATTTTACATTAATTTAATGAGTATGTGCACATGAGTAAATAAAATACTATATTGATTCTGTAATCAATGTCATTTCTATGTTAAGATTAGTTAAATAGATTGTAGTTATACTTTAAAAACTTTCATAATTTTTCAAAATTACTTGATTTATTGTTTCGACAGGAAGACGAATGGCCTTCATTGGATACGTGCAATTGGATAACATCAAATTATAATGCATTTTCTGGTTTTGATCATTCACAGTATCTTCGATTTGGATAAGCAATAAATGTGTTATAATAAACCACTGACCAAATCCTTTTCCCCTTCCCTATCTAACATTTACCCAAATTCAAATTTCTATAGCATCATTTTGAGGATTACGAGAAATGGTTACTTGATTTTAATTAAATTATGTCATGTCAGCTCTTATTATGAACTAATTCATTGAAGTATATTTGTTCTCTTTAAGACTGCTGTAAAAGTATTGCATAATATATAGTTTAAAAAAAAGGATGGAGGCAAAGTATTTTGAGTCATTTGACAAATCACAGTTTGTTTTGACTAAGTAATAATATAATATCTACTGTTATTCGCCTTATTGATTAGTCAGAAATGATATGTATTTGATTATCCATAATTTTATAATATATTTTATAATATCATCTATGCAATAGACAACTGTTACATTAGCATTTTCGAATAATTTCAAAAACTTCAGTTTTTCTTTTTTTAAGGATTATAAAACTTATAAGGTCATCATAATGATTGGATCTCTAATTACTAATCGAATTAATGCAATCTAGAATAATGACCTTCTGGATGTTGCTTCAGGAATAATTTCCATATTTATTGGTTGATTTAAGCCATTGACGATTCAATGGTGAGTAATAAGTGAAGTAGTTTCGATAATATAAATAACGTGCATTATCATTGTATCCATAATAATTCATACTATAGTATGATGGATAAATAGATGGCAAGTCGTACCTGGAAATTCCATTTTTTGTTTTTTTCAAAATTTTTCCTTATGGGAAGTAGTGATAATTATAAATTAGTGAGCTAATCGATATCTTTCATCTATCTCTTATCATTACCTGACTTTTTTAAAGAATCAACAGTGTTATCATCGTTTGATACTACTGGTTATCATATACATCTAATTAATATCACTTGATCGTTGATACTGTATCACTTTATATTATTTACCGACGATTCATCCATTCATTTCCATCTTATAAATATTTTTGTTTTTTTTTTTTTTGACTTAATTTACTTACAGGTGATTCTTGTATCTTAGCCAAGAGCTATATGGATAATTCCACATGCTGTATGGTGCCTTATCAGTTCGAGAACGTGGTGAAGTTCCCATATAACAATCATACCAGTAATCATCATACTGCAAATGAATACTACATTTATAATTCGCGATAAGTAAAATTGATCTTCATACGATGTGATTTTCGTATTTTTCATCTACAGAAATTTGCATTTATTCAAATATACAAAAAATTCAACTTAGCTATTTATATATAAATTAATATTACATCTGTATGTTCATCTTATTTTTTAGCGTAAGGTTTACGAGAATGCCAAAAAGTTGTGCTGAAGTTTATTTTTTGACCAGAGACAGGTGATAGTGCTATAGATAAATGATGATGCTAGTAATGATAGAAATACTAATATTAGTTAGAGAAATTAGTATTAGTAATAGTAGAGAAAACTGTAATAATAGTGGTATTAGTTGTAATGGGGATCAAATAAAAGCTGAATCAATAAAGGGTGTTTTTCATTTCATTCAATGTTATGTTCAATTTCAAATCATTCCTATTTTTATTGAGAAATGAAAAAAAGTGGGAACTGGATTTTGTATTGTATAAAAAGTATTATTTACTTTTGTTCAAATCAATCTTTGTAATTTTGAAATACAAAATTACGTATACTTTCATTTTTCTTCGTCTAAATTTAGATATGTTAGCTGAGGAAATGCTATCCAATGTGCTTATATAATTTATTGCTTTGGAATGCTTAACAGGTTGTTGCAAATATTATCAGTTAATTATCTACTAATTAACGTTTCTTAGTATGATGCATAAGAATAAAACACCCACCAAACTCCAATTTCTGTACTGTTGATTTGGCCAGTATGCTGCATACTTTTCATGGTTAGCTAATTTTTCCAACGATTTTGAACGATACAACTAAAATGTCATAACTAATCATTAAAATACTAAATTTTATAGGCAAAAATTTTTTTGTTTAAAAGAAAATTGAAATTTGCATAAACATACACATAGGAAATTAAGTGAAAATGATTGAAGTAAATAATAGAGTGTTATTACTCCGGTAATATCCAAGTCGCACTTGTAAAAAAATTTATCTAACCTTCAACCCTGAATAAACATTATCATTAAATTGAGAATGAAAGGAATATTTTTAAATTGTGAACTGTCATCACATTGTTTGTTCAATTGCTATTTCGGAACAAATGATCAAGAAATTTCTCACCGGATATATGGGCTGTAACAATGGAGGCATTTTACACAGAGAGGATTGATAGGAAATTTTCAAAATTCAAATATTCAATAGAATTTCAATTTCTCGATAACAGGCAAGGAAATGGAAACGATGATTTGTCGTTTTGATGGAAAGAAATTAATTCGAAATGAACAAATATCCTCCATTCATCCTTTTTTCCTCTTCCTCCTCTTTCTCCTCCATTTTGTTTCTATCTTAGTCAATCTTTTCCACATTCACTCCTCACTTCTAAAATTTCGTTTTAAGTTTTTTATTTGAATTTGTTTGTTTGCTTTGCTGCAAAGTAGCTTTGGATGATTTCCTTTTTTTTTTTTTCTATAAATATGCTAGAAATAAAGGAACAGCTGTTACTTATATTTAACACACTTATTTTAACTTTCTATTGATAAATATATAAGTACAAAAAAAAAGGAAGCAAAAAGCAAAAGTATTGATAAAGCAACTAAATGTTATCTATGCTAAATTATCTCATCAAATTTTCCAAAAACTAATTTGCTAACAAATCTTTTGTAATTATATACTGAATTTAATCGATAAATAATTGGAAATATTTCTGATACAACATGAAATTTCATTTTCGTACTTTCATTGATATGATGGAAGTTAGTAGTGAAAGTTTCATTTTGCTGAACTGTTTTAAAAATTAACAACAATTTCGGTTATCACTGAGTGAAAGTTTAACAAACGGAAGAAATCATTTAAAAAAAAAAGAAAATTAAACAAGACAAAATTGTTTTGTCAGTTTTAACTCATTCCTCCTTACCAAAATTAAAAACAGACTTCATTCAATTACTGTTAGCTAAGTGTTACTCATAATGAACCAAAAATTTATTGCTTAATTTTTCAATTTTAAAATTTAAAGCAACCTGAAACAATTCCATGATTTCTGTTTTTTCATCGATTGTTATCAACAATTGATTTAAGATTAGCACGGGAAAGGTTTTAACTTTTGAGTGCTCAAATATCAGAATATAGTATTTCTTACTAAACAGCAATTAAAACTTTTACACTGACCAAAATATTTGCAATTCCAAAAATTACAAGCTTAAAATTCTCAAATATTGTCAAAAACTGATAGAAATCAAAATAAATGAAATTTAAGTTTCATTTTTAGAAGAATAAATATTTGTTTAATATTTCATTAAAATTATTTAAAGATTATTTTAACAATTGAATCAGTTCATTTACTATTATCCACTGCATTGTTTTTTTGAAATTTAAAATTTTCAAATGAATTCTCATCAGTCAAAATTCATAATAATTAACATTGGAATACCTAAAATCGCCGAATATTTAAATCTATCCAGTTAAAAATATACCTTATATCGAGAAATTCGATCTATTCTTTTTTACGAACAAATCGAAATTCTATTTCCTTTTTTTCTGAGTAGAAATTATTTCCAGTATATTTTCCAGTATTCCGATCAATTTGTTCTTTTTTACATGCTTTATTAATTAAGTTCAAAAAAAAGTTGACACATTTTCTACTAATTATCATGTGTCTCTTTCATATACCTTTTGGTTTAATTATCACTTATTCCCTCATTTCATAATAATTACCATATTTTATTGTCAATTTAATGTACAGCTAATCCATTTGTATAATTTATGCCATTCTTGCATTTTTATAATTTTTCAAAAATTATTTTTGAAAAAGCAT